TATCCTAAAGAGTGCCTAGAGTGAATTGCTAACTTAGAGGGAAACGGAAGGTATGGGCATTTTCTATGCCTATGTTTCATACAGATACTGGCAATTTTCTGAGACTGTGGAATGGTCAAGTCATTGGGCTGATTCAGTATAATAACTTTAACTTAAAGACAGGAAAACCTACCTCTAAGCATATTGGTGTGTAGGAAATCAGTAAGATATTTTGATTGTTTTCAGCAGTGCTGTCAAATATATTTGAGTGAATTTGTGGTGGGAGGTAAGACAAACTTGAAATATTACAAAATGAATTGCCAAAAATGGACAAATAGATTAATTTACAAATATGATTTGAAAACCCTAGTAGAGAAGGGGTCTTATGTAAATACATTTGTATTTTTTCTCCAAATTAAAAAATTGAAAAGACAGTAATATTGACTATTTATGGGTATACTTATGTCTTACAGTTTTCAGTTACTAGTGCCTTAGTAATTGAATCACTGTGGAGTATTTTAGGAGGTTAAGAATTATGTTGTCCAATCCATGAATAAGTTAGTAGAGTAGAGCAATGTTACATATGACTTTTACTTTCATAGTTATCTTAGTGCAGTATATATTGTCTTGCCCTTTCCCCAATTATAAATTGAGTGCATTTTCTCGTCCTAATTAAAATACATCTTGATTGCTAACTTCACACTTCTGTTTTGTTTTCCAGTTTAAAAGAATGCTCAACCGGGAGCTAACCCACCTATCTGAAATGAGCAGGTCAGGCAATCAGGTCTCAGAATATATATCAAACACGTTCTTAGGTAAGACTATGATGGGAGTTAACTTTTTTGCCTTTTGTTTTTTCTATTTCTCTCTGGGCTGCGATAGAACTTAAAAGCAAGTAGCTTTCCATATTAATTTCTCTTTTCAGAAACTGTACATTTAGTATCTCATTGTTCAGTGTTGGGGCAGAGGGATCACGTTAGATCCATTTCCTCACAGCTCAGTTTGTGTATGTGGTTTCCCTGTGTGCGTAGATAAATATTCATATACATATTTTCATGTAACATTACAACTACTATATTGCTACCATATTAAGAATATAATATATAATGAATTAATTATATATTAAAAAGAATACTTCCACTCTGTTTCCCTTATGAAAGTTACTGTGAAGTGGTTTCAGTGTGCTGGAAGCACACAAGCACAAGTAACCTCATAAAATCTCGTAACACACAGTTCTGGTGCTTTGGTATTCCCTGCCTGCACATGGGCAGGTGGCTGAGTATGACTAAGTTAACATCTGAACAGACTGCTGCCAGGAGAATTTGTGCGTTTCAAGAGCTTGCATGGTGGAATGTGAGCAGTAAAAAAGGCCTGACACAAAAGAGTATGGTTCCTCCTCTATGGCTTTGCAGAACTATGTATGTTTTGGGGTTTTTTTTGCTAAAACTGGTGAAAATGCATAAAACTTGGTTCCATACTGTTGTTTTTGAACATGAAGATAAAGAAAATATACCAATCTCAAGCATGTTTTGAGCAAAACACCATTAGTTCATAAAGACTGTGTGTATAAGGGGAGGCATGGCTGAATACATCTAAATTAGGATAAGAAGCACTTTAAAAGGTGCCAGTCACATGTATTAATGTTGGATTTATTTGTGTGAGACACTGTAGCTGGTGCTTTTTGTGTTTTTTGAAAGAAGCAGGTATTTTAAAGTACATTTTATCCTGCTTGTCACCATATCCTAAACAGATTGCTTAATGTGTCCGTTCAGTTTACCCATGACTGCAGTAGCATGCCCGAGCACTGCGGCACAGCAGGGTTTCAGACAAGAAGGCAGGGATGAGCTTGGTCATGGAGAAGCAATATTGCACAGCTTCAGGAGCCCTGAAAGTCACAATGTAGAGTTATCTGAGAAGATGACCCACTTAGGCTGAAAAGACTGAGATACTGGTTTCTGCTTGCTTTTACTTGAAAACTTCAGGCTCGTTTTGACAGGGTAAGGAAATGTGCCTGGCAGCCTTTCACATGAGACCTCAGTCTTGAGCAGAAAGAGGGCTGGAAGGGCAATTGTTTTTAACTTACTGAGCCATCGGTATTGTTTTGTGGCTGCATGAAAACCTAGGATACTTAAAATTGTAGGTGCAAGAGGAATACAATGGGGAAAATACCTCATGTACAAAATTATTGCTTAAATACGGTATTTTCAAAATATGCAGTCTAAGTATATAGATTCTGAGCAACAATGTGAAGAGGGAAAATATTCTCTCCATAGAAAATTTGGATGAATTTATTTAGTTGACTTTTTATTTTTAATAATAAATGATCTATCTCCTGAATATCTACAGACTTTCTCACATTTGAAAGTGAGGAACATGTCATGAGAAAACAGGTTTTTCTATTCTTCTTATTCTTAAAAAAAAAAAGAAAGATATTTTCCCAAGGAGGGCTATGTGACGTGTGGGAAGTTATTCATAACAACAACAAATGTATTCCTTGTGTAAGAATTAAGGCTTCTACATTGAGTATAATAGTATGCAGGGTTTTTATTTTTCAGTGTCATTAACCTGTTTTCCTATGAATGTAAAATGTAAGAGGACCTGCCAATGCGCATAGCACAACTAGGGTCAAAATGGCAAGCTGTCTTTTCTGGATGCTCAGATGGGTGCAGGATCCTTTGCCCTGTGTGCTTGTAGTTACAAAAGCAGAGGCAGTCCCGTGGAATTCTTCCGGAGATCTAAAGTCATTCAGACAGACACTTCCTTTCGCTTGAGTTAGCCTGACAGCTCAGCTTACGAACCTCCCTTTGATGGGTCTAAACTTTGTGCATATGACCGAAACCATAAACATCAAAGCACGAACACGAGTCACTGTTCTCATCTGTTGTCGGTTTGCGCCAGTCAAGAGTTGCTGCACTCCGCCTCCCCCTTTTCTTGATTGTCTGTATGAGGAGAGTGGTGAGGTATGGCGGGGGCAATTGGGGAACTCAGTGCCGCAGGCTAAACCTTGGTGACATTTCCACAGTCTCTTCTTCGCTGTGAGTGGTTTGGAATTCGAGGTGTCCAGTAAATGTGGCTGCTAAAGGGTAATTAAAAAAAGGAAATGCAAAAAAGAAAGTGAAGAAGCAAACACAATAACAATCTGGGAATTAGAAATGGATTTGCTACCCCTCATCTGGTTTAAATGTCTTTATTGAAAATGACCATTGCAGGAAGAGAAAAATAGACATGGGTTTTTAAAGAGCCCAAATATTTGAAGGTGTTTTGTGGGGGGTTTTGTGGTTTTGTGTTTGTTTGCTTTTTGTTTTTTTTTTTTTTTTAATTTTTGTTCTAAAGTGGTTTTTAAATCATAGTTTTTGCTAGGCTCCTGTATTAAAAACATCTGTTCTGGATTTTCCTGGTTTTGCTGGAATATTCTTTGAAGACTAGAAAGTATGCAGGTACATTTCAAGAAAGAACAGATAATTTGGAGGGAGTCATTAAAACTCTATGTTGAAATATAGTATGAATAAAAATAACAAAAATTAATGTAAATTCTTTTGCAGCAGGAATGGAGAGTCCTTTGTTGTGCTAACCTGGGTTTCTTTGGGGCCTGCAGATGTCTGCAGTGCTCTACACCCCCATACTATTACTGCAGAGATCAGCTGTAAACAGCCCAAATATACTTTTACTCTCAGTTTAATCCTTGTCTAAAGTTTTGCTGGCACACATGTTGATGAGGTATATGAAGTGATGCCGCTGATACTGCTACGGAGGCAAAAGCCCACAGTGAAATGTTGGGTTTTAGCAAAACAGTCCTTTTGTTGATATGACTTACTCTGGTTGGGAGGTACAGAAATGCACTGCATTGCTGGCGTGAGCTGCATCTACCTCCAAAGAGCTTGTAGGTGTGGCTGGCAAAAGGCTTTCTGAGTTGTACAGAGTCTTAACACCAATTAGGTCCTTCGAGTCCTGAAAATGTTTTGTAAAGGTTTACATGAGATACCGTTTTGATTGGGTTTGAAATACAATTTCAGAGGGTGTTCTTCCTGGAAAAGAAGAAATTTTAAATTTCCTAGCAAAATGAAAGTTTAGATTTTTGTTCAATCATAGTAACATTTTTATAATGAAAGGATCGATCCTCTCTACAGCACTAAGGATGCAGGAGAAGTGAAAATCAGTCAGTCACAAGTAACATTTAAAGCTAGTTCAGAAATAACGAGGCAATTTGTGAAACAGCGATTTGCTTATACTGAGGTATAAGCCTATGCGTATCTTATTATGGTTTGACATAGCTCTTGCTATGAAATCTCTGGAAAATCTCAAAACATAGAAATAAAAAAAGTTTTATTAATTATTACAATATCCATAACGTGCAACTCAGCAGTGAAATGGGCAAAAATATTCATAATTCCTTTAAAAATTCTCCTCTTTTTCTTCATTCTTTTGAAGACAAACAACATGAAGTTGAAATCCCATCTCCGACACAGAAGGAGAAAGAGAAAAAGAAGAGGCCAATGTCCCAGATCAGTGGAGTCAAAAAACTGATGCACAGCTCCAGCCTAACTAATTCCAGTATTCCCAGATTTGGAGTTAAAACAGACCAAGAAGATGTTCTTGCTAAGGTAGAGAATATATAAATCCTTGAATTTAAACCACTGCATTAAAATAGAGGGTGGACTTGTCAGTATTATTCCATCCTCTGCTTATAACCATTGATTTGAAGCTGTAGCACCAAAGGCTGGTTTCACTTGAAGTAGTATAAATTTGATGAAGTGGAAGAATAACAGGTAAAATCAGAATCAGGCCATAGGGTTAATTTCCGTGTGAACGGGTTTTCATCTGGAGATGGAATGTAAATTAGCATTTATGTATGGATTAGTAAAGCTGCTTATTCATAAATAGTATCTGAGGAATGAAGAGTGAATATACTATCTACTGTCATAGGAATTTATATAGCTGCCTTATGTTTTTTGAAAATGCACAACTGGTGTCTAGCATTAGAGCTACCCTTCAAGGTCCTGTCTTTCACTGTAGCATTTTACGTACATCATCCGTGGTTTTGTTTTTAGTGACATTTCCTAGGATTTTTTGCACCAGCAGCTAACTAGTTGGCAATCAGCTAAAACTGGCATAAAGTGATTATTGATTTAATTTTAGAGTTTTGCATTTTGAAACATGCTTATCCTTATGTTTTCAGGAATCACCTCCTCTATTTGAAGAGTGTTTCTGAGAACCAGGGAGACAGCAGCAGAACCACAGCATCTCTGGAGGTTTCCTCCTCGCTGAACCCTGCTGTCACTGGGCAGTGAGATAGCAAAGTGTGTCAGTTCAGCTCATTCAAGATACTGTAGCAGTTTCCCCTCTGGAGCAATCCACTTAAGAGGCACTTTTTCTTGCTTAGTGAATTACAATCTGAAAAGTTGGTAGCTGCAGATTCATATATTACAGATTAGTAGCAGCAGCTTTCCACCTTTCAGAGTTTAGCATATAATTTCCACAGTGGCAAGGTTTGAATCTTCATGAGTCTGCTGTTTGTAGCTCTTCCAATCCAAAATTGTGCCTTAGGTTTCAATGTGTCTGTTGCTTGATTCTGCTTTAGGAACTAGAAGACGTGAACAAATGGGGCCTTCAGGTTTTCAGAGTAGCAGAGTTATCTGGAAACAGACCTTTGACAGTCATCATGCACACCATTTTTCAGGCAAGTAGCAGCGGTTTTGCTTATCTTAGAGATTTTTCTGTTCTTTGCAATCTTAATTGTTTCTCTTTTCCTTTTCTAGGAACGGGACTTGTTAAAAACTTTTAAGATTCCAGTGGACACTTTAATAACTTACTTGATGACCCTGGAAGACCACTACCATGCAGATGTGGCATATCACAACAACATACATGCTGCAGATGTTGTTCAGTCAACCCATGTCCTGCTATCAACCCCGGCATTAGAGGTAAACTACACTGAGTTGGGAAAGAGACAGGCATGAGCGAAAGGGACATACTAAGACTCTTCTAAATGAAATATTAAAGAACTTAGTTTCTGCAGTATTTTTAAAAGAAATTTTGACATTTCTTTCATGAATTGTGCTCTCTTAAAGATATTTTTTTGAGGATCAGATCTTATTTACATTTAAATAGTGTGCAGAAAGTGTTACGTTTTTCTTTTAAATCATGGTTTTATACTTGCAGATTTGTGCTGTCATAACTTTTTTCACTGTAACACAATAGATAACTTGCTTCCACATCTCATTACTAACACTATGTCCTATTCTGTCATTATTTCCTATGTGGGATTCACACTGGACACAGTTAGTGGAATTGCTTAGGAAAGATAGTGATAAAATGGGATTCCCTCAATAGGGACATTTGGGTTTTGTTTGTTTTTTCTCCTGTGCATATTAATTCTGATCCTGAAAGGCTACTTTTGTGTTTGTTTCTCAGGCAGAGTGGAACATGTACTAAATTTTCACTGTAGTATCTCTTTTTTTTTCATAAATATTTCAAACTTGTTTGAAAAACTCCTACATTTCATATGTTCTTGTCTGAAGAACTCTGAAGAGTTCTGAAGAACTCTTGTTGAAGGTGCTTAAATCTCTGAAGTAGAAAGAAGTGGAAGAAAGATGGAGACTACTTTCCCTTTTTTTAAGCACAGTTCAGGTCTTAGCATAGCAAAGGTTGATATATCCCAGCAAATTGTTGGAAAAAGGCAGATAAAGCAAGCAGTTGAAATTTTAGTAGTTCAAAAGGATTAGCCCACATTTTCAAGGAAGGCTGCATTTTGACTTTTTCATAATGACAAATCTTTCATGTTACTGAATGCTTCTGCTTTACCTGCATCTTAACAAGAGGGTTATAAATGAACCTTAAGACTGTTGGCAGGTCTTGATCCTCAAAGACTCAAGAGTTCTCTTGGGAAAGATTTTCTTTATCTCAAGAAGGAAGATAAGATTATGTTCTTAAATCACCACTGGCTTCACCAAACCGCTGAACTGCTTGTCAGTAGCATTTTCAGGATTTTTTCCTGATAAACTGTTTTTAATGCCTTGTTCTCCGCAGAGCTTTAGCCAGTGAAATACCAACATCCGCCCAATGCCACTGCTGACCTATGCACTTCTGAGCTGTTCTTGATCAATTAAGAAATCAATCATATAATGTGGGTGCTTGTGACAACAGTGGACTGGGCTCAGTGACATGCCAGGTC